GGACGCGCAGGCTCAGCGGCCATGGCTCACGGGCCCAGCCGCTCCGCGGCGTGTGGGATCTTCCCGGACCGGGGCACGAACCCGCGTCCCCTGCATCGGCAGGTGGACTCTCAACCACTGCTCCACCAGGGAAGCCCCCATCTTATTTGTATAACAGCCTTAGCAGCTCTATGTGGCTAATGATCAGGACCTCTCATGAAAGAAGAATCTTGAAGTCTGTGGTTTAAACTCCAAATATCACTAGGCTGCAAACTAACCCGATTCTCTGTGTTCTTGTCCTATATGGTGAACAGTTAATAAGAGTAAACAGGGCAATTACATACATATTAACAACCCTCTGTAGTGCATCCCTTTTTGTTTGCCAGAGCCAATAGGGCTACAGCAGCTGAGAGGGGCCTATTAGAGTATCTTCAGGGGTTAAAAATGAAAATTACAGGCAGATAATTATCTTTGGTATAAGGTTACACAAACATGTGCGGCCTGTAGATTAAAAAAAAAAAAACATATGGTAGTGTGTACAAAATAAGATCAAAATCAAGTTCTGTTTCTTTCTGTCAGAAGTCAGTCTTCTGTTCATGCAGCCAAGTCTTCTCTAAGTTGTACTCTGGATATTTGTCCACTTTTTTTTAAATTGGGCTTTACAGTGTTGTGTTAGTTTCTGCTGTTTGTCCACACTTTGACTTTGTAATATTGTTCACATAGACATGAAAGGATAGAGAGTATCTTAAAGGGCACAGGATATGTGCTATTTACTGCATCAGACAGAACACAAAATCATCCACGTGCAAATGCTTCTCCCGATGTCTAAGTATTCAGCAGCCTCAGTGCTTATTTTCCATATCATAGTCCTATTGACATATTACATAGCAAAGCCCTTTTGCAGCCAGTTATATAACTCTTCTCTTCCAAGATAAATGATGGTCTTATGACACTCAACCCCGACTACCAAATTTTCAAGTGCAGTCCGTATATATCTGAGGCAGATGAAAGGAATGAAGGCAACAAAAATCTGAGGCAACAAAAGGAGGTTGAAAGCTAGCTAAGTTTTGAAATACAGATTTTAAAAGTACTCAGAAGCTATTTTTCACATTGTAATCCAGTTTGAAAGCTGTAAGAGAAAACCAGGCTCATCCATCAAGCACCATCTTAGAGATTTCCTTCTTGAATGCAACTACAACAATGCTAATTATAAACTGAAAAAGATAAATCCTTCGCCTACATATAACAAATCTGAAGGTTTCAGTTCGCAGGAAAGCCACATGCCCTTACATGACTAAATGTGTCTGTATTTACTTACTTTTAAAAATTAAAAGTGCCTGAAAAAGAATCTGATGAGAAATGATGAAAGTTACAGAAACTCATGGGGAAAAAATGTAGTTAGAGACTCAAGATGGTCTTGATTTCGCTCTGAGAATTTTCCACAGTAGTTTTCTGTGTGTTGGAGCTTGAGAAATGATGATTCTGAATGGCTTCTGCCTGATAGGCTGCATCGGACTCCAGGGATTCAGAAACCCAGTGGGAAAGACAGCACAATTTCACAGGACTTGGGATAAAAAACAGCTCTTTTCTTTTCTAGGTGGTGCAGTGATGCTGCTGGTTTATGAATACACCTATTCATGGCTTCAGGAGAACTGGTGATTGCCTACAGAGTATTTTTCCCCCTTGTGATAATGGATATTCATTATACGGCACCATGAGAAGGAGAGAGTATCGATCAGCTGAGCTGATACAATGATAAATTATAATTATACAATTATACACAATTATAGAAGGCAAAAGAGTTTGTTCAAGAACAAAACCTATTTTGATACTAGTTATCTCTAGACAATTAGAAACCGTCGTTTTGGTCATATCCATAAAACTGTGAGAAGAAAATTACTACTATGAAGCAATGAGGTATATAAACTGAATATAGAAAAATAGCATGAAATCAGATATATCTCATAAAAGCAATATAAATTTTATGATCTGTGTTCCTCTTACAAGGCTTCACAAGGAAAATTCATTGTGTTGATGATTATTTTCCCCCAAAAGGTCAAGAAGTGCTTAAAAGTGAAAAAAAATTAAGCCAAAATTTAAAGTTTTTATAAGGAATTAAATTCTTCCATAAGTGGTATTTAATGATATACAAGGAAAATATTTCTAAAGTGTATCAAAATGACCTTTTAAAATTTTATGTTAAAATGTGAGTTTGTTGGTTTCTTTTTGTAATAATACTCATCTCAGATATATTTTCCTAAATCTACTTTATACTTTTCACTGTTGGTTAATATTTTAAAATCATGATATTTGAAGTCTTTTATGACAAATATGACACATGAAATTATATTAAACTACTTTCCCTTTGAAAACAAATTTTAATGCTGAAATATTTTCGTGCTAAATCACAAATTCGAACCACTCCTTGGGCCCATTTGTGCTATCTGTACTTGCATCAAATACCTTTGTTCAGAACTCTTACCTATGCCATTCTTAAAAATGATGTTTAGAATAAAACTAAATTTCTAGATTATTAGTTTTAAGTGACGGTTTCAGGTGTGGAGTCAACTAACTGCAGTGTTAGAATATGTATTATGAAGGGGAAAATGTTTCAAAGGAGAAGTACATTCTTAGCATTTCCAAAGATTCCTGTACTAACATGCACTCCAAAAACTATCTCCTTGGCGTTGATATAACCAAACTTAACTTAATTTTATATATGCATCCTGAAATGATGCTGCTTCAGCAGCTAGAGTCAACAAAAATACCTGCATGTTCTAGATGGCACCTGTTCTTAACTACTACAAGATATTTCTACCATGAAGCTGTGTCACTAAAACATTTTGAAAATAAAAAATGAAAGATAACATAGTAATTATTACTTTTTATTAATTTAGAGCATTTAAAGTATAAAAATAAAGGCTTTTTGACATACTGTATATACATACACAGCCTTCGGTTGTACATCCTTTCCAACGTGTTTTTTAATTTATATTTCAGCCCGGTATTTAATGAGGGTCGTTAAAAGTAGGACAAAACAAGAGAAATAAGAATGTGTCTGTTGTCCAACTGCATTCTATCCTTCAGGTAATACTCTTGCCTTCTGTGAAAGAGAGCACTGCCTGCATAGAGGCCATGAAATTGAACCTTTAACCTCTCCATGTGGATGGGATGGAAAAGGATCTCTGAAGAGTGCATTTGCCAGGTTAAAAACACTTTTACCCCCTAAGAATCAGAGGAAATATGTCAACAGTAACCAATAATAATAATGTTTTAAAAATCAAACCACCCCATATCCCATCCCACTTTCCTTCTCTCATTTTTAAAAGTAGCTTTAAATCATAATGTGCTTTAAATAGCCAATTGTATTTGGGCTTTCTCTTTTTCAGTTTACTCCATATGAATTCACTGTTGCTAAGAAAAAACCTAGGGAAAAAAAGAAAAGGAAAACTTTGATACTATTAATATTAGATTTTTAAAGATACAAGAACCGGAAAAAATATATAAATAGCATAATAACAAGAGATTTCTTAATTTAGATAAAGAAAATAACATTTAGTTATGTTTCCATACAAACAATTGATATTTTTTAAAGACTCCTAATAGCCGCCTAAAAACATCTGATAAGGAATAATTCTGTACCTTATGTCAGTTTTTCTGCATGGCAGGAGAGTCCCTGTACAGTGTGGTTTTAAAGTCTCCACCAAAATATTGGACTGGTATTTTGTTCCATTCGGTTTATAGTCTATTTTCTCACCAGACTGGGAACTCCAGATGTCAATAGGAGCTTTACAAGATCAAAGGAAGACTACGGCCCTGAGAGTTCATCTGCTTCTTCTGCTTATTCTTCTCCTGAAGTTATAATCCTCTGTTTGCAGCACTGAATTTCGGTTGCTTTAGAAATAAATGCAGTTCAAAGCTCTCTATGAGATATCTGCTGCTTGAAAAAAGCAGCTCCTCGAACATAAGCTTGTGTGTCAGAAATCTGCTTACTGTTTATATCCTGGTGATTTGAAAACCTAGCTAATCTAGCCATCTGAGTTTTAGATGAGGCCATGAAACCGATGTGACAGAACTGGATTGCCATGTGGGCTGTGCACAGCACAGACCGGAAGAAATCAAAATCACCTAACGAACGCATCTTTAACATCCATATCTAGTGATGTGCCCTGTTAGTTATTGCACAGAGTTAATACCAAAAAACAGGCAATATATTAATTTTCCAATAGATGAATTGTACCAATGTTTTAAAAACGTATTTTCAAGCCTATATTGCCAAGCAGGAAGAACTTTCTAAACAGAAGCAATTAAAAGTGTAGAATTTTGCCCAAGAAAATCAACTGTTTTAAAATACAGCACATAGGCACATGCTCACACACACACAAACACACACACACACATACCCCTCAGCTCTATGATTAACACTAAAGTGAAAAACAAATTGGTTTAGAAAGATCCATCAGTTAAACTGTGTCCTGTAACTCCAGAAATGAATAAAGGGAATTTTTAAAAATTAAATAGCATTTGTATTTCTAATACCACCACCAATTTACCTACACGTGAAACATGCTTCTGTACAACAATGTAAACTTCACAGCAAAGCCATTTTTACATTCATTAGAGCAGAATTTTCCATTGTCTTTAAATTACAACGTAATTTTGGGCTGAGATTGCTGAACACACAGGTAAGCCAACAATAACAGTACAATTTAGTTTCACAGTGGTTTTCTTAACATAAAGTTCATTTTAAGTGTCTTTGCAAAGCATTTCACATTAAACTTAAGTTTCTAAGTGACTTCCTGTAGAGCCTTGTTCAGATATTTTCCACCCTCTTGTCTTTATATGCTTGGCATGTGTGTTGTTTGATTGGGATACAAAATGGGAGACTGGCTTGTTTTATCTGTGTTTTGAGTCCTCTGTTGTAGAAAGAAAATGTCCTTCATGAGATGTCGAAGCCTTCACTGCACACACAAAATCTGGGGCAAGTCCAGGTCCAGGAGCCTGAGCAGCCCACCACCAAACAGAGACAAAGACATTGCCGGAAAGTCACCTTGGCAAAAAGAAAGGAAAAAAATAGAGAGGGGTGGGGGCAGGGGAGGGGCCTATCCCATGGAATGAAAACACAAATGCACCAGAGTCCATATTTACAAACTAATAGAAAGTATAAACATTACTGTATTTGGAACCAAGTCAAAACACCAGGAGGAGCTAAATTCAGATATTGCTTAAGTTATACATATATTTTCCAACAAAATATGCCATCTGTTAAAAATAAACAACGGATCACTCAAGTCAATTATTGATTGGTTTCCTAATGATGAATTAAGGATTATTTTGTTACCTTATTTGATTAGAGGGTGTAGCATAACTTTTTCTATACCTATTTTATTGATTTTGCAAAATCTCAACAATTGCACATTTCAGAAGTTCAGGTTGATTTAGAATAAATATACACATGTGGTTTTACCAAAGACTAGTTTTAAAAGTTCCTTAAGCCCTTTGAGGGGTGCAGGTTTCTTCACTATGTTAAAACAGTGTGTGGCCAACACAAACGTCTCGTTCAGTCCTTAACATTGCTTTTGTTTTTAACTCCTACAGTCATGTCAGGTGTTCTGTGAGAGAGAAGTTATGGTAAGAGATATTTAAGTGTCATCAGCACAGAGGATGTGAGTCCGTAAAGCCAGCTTTCGAGGCAGGAGGGTTGGAGGGCAGAGGGGTGGGATCCGAGACCAGGGAAGAAGGGGAGGGTGTGCTGAGAAGGGGCAGGGGGGACTCGGGTGAAGCTGCGGCAGACGGAATCTCCCATCAGAGTGCGGAAGCCGTGACAGAGTGGCTACCTTCTCGGGCTGCCTGCATTCCCTTGAACGCCAGCGACGCGGGAATGTCACAGTTGTGGGGGGAAAGTGGGGTGCCACTGGCATGTTGCCACCCGTGTCCAGCAACATAACCAGAAGGAGCAGCGCTGTAGGTCATGTAAGGCGACACTTGGGCTGGGGTAGGATAAGGAGCCATGCTGGATGCTGACACAAAACTGCTTACAGCTGGGAGACCATTTGGTGCCTAAGAGGAGTAGGAAAAGAGAAGAGGTGAAAATAATCACATTAGAGCGGTTGACATTTCACGAGTTCTAAGAAAGAAGCAGAATGTCAGTTCTGAGTAGTAACTAACAATATTCTGACCCTACTTTCTGATTTTTTGTTGTTGTTGTTTAGACTTGACTCTCTTTATATTCTAAATGCATTCACAGTCTTGCTACTTAGACATATTCTTTCCACAAAGATTTTGAGGAGGCTACAACCAGAACATTCACAGTACTTGCTCTTGCTACTTGGAATTATAGGAAGGAAATGCAGGGTGAGAAAAGAATTAATTGTGATGAAGAACTCTTAGAATCCATTCAGCTCTCTCTGCCTTTGTCAACCCTCCCCGTACTTCAGTTTTGTTTGACTCTTTTGTTGAGGCATTTGTGAAGGGCCTGGTTGGTATAGCTTTCATTTCCAGTAAAGAAGGGCAGAGTATGGGCTGTCACTTTAGAAACTCAAAATGAGCGTGACCTTTGTTAAATAAAATGTGGGCCATATTTTAAAACGATGTTGAAAATGCTTGTTGGACGAAGGACATGCAAAATCAGGCAGTGTGTCTAGAAGGGTTTTTTAATGACAATTGGGAGTATATTTTCCAGAGCTATTTTATCAAAAAGGAAACTGTCAGAATATAAAAGAATCGCATATGCCTGATTTTGAAATTGGAAAATTTGCTTGCTAAGTTTTAGGGCCCTGTGATCTGAATTTTTAGAAGCCACATGGATAAATCTCTTGAAATGAATTTAAATGTAAAATGTTAGCTTGCAAACAAAATGCAGCAACGCTGGCAGGCAAGTCTGCCTAGCTATTAACAACACCCAAAACACCCTGATTTCTAATCCTCATTCTGGCATGAATACTCGGCATCCTTCTTCAACTAACTTCATTTTTCCCCCTGAATTTCTACATTGTTGGGGCTTCCCTGGTGGTGCAGTGGTTAAGAATCTGCCTGCCAATGCAGGGGACACAGGTTTGAGCCCTGGCCCGGGAAGATCCCACACCTGGCAGAGCAACTAAGCCCATGCGCCACAACTACAGAGCCTGCGCTATAGAGCCCACGGGCCACAACTACTGAGCCCACGGGCCACAACTACTGAAGCCCGTGCGCCTAGAGCCCAAGCTCCGCAACAAGAGAAGCCACCGCAAGGAGAAGCCCGCGCACCACAAGGAAGAGTAGCCCCCGCTCGCCGCAACCAGAGAGAGCCCGCACAGCAGCGAAGGCCCAATGCAGCCAAAAAATTAATTAATTAATTAAATTTTCTTAAACATTTCTACATTGTTTAGAAATAAAGAAAATCCTGTTTCCTGGTAGTGATGTGAATAAATAAACATATCACCATATTTCCTAGTGAAACTATAATGTAAATAATAGAAATATTACCCATAAAACCAATTTAAGCCTTAGAGGTAAGAAAAGCAGACATATGTTGGATACTTTTTCCAATTCAGTTGCAACACAGAAATTGTTTTCTAATTTAATTCATTTGGTTATTATTTTCACTTTCACATCTATGAGAATGCAACAGTGGGGTCTCAAAAATGATTTTCTCAATTTAGAGTAATGCATGGAGAATATATACATGAACGTGATTTAACACTACTTGTGGATTTCTGACAAAATAAAAATAAAAGTAGAGGAGTTAACTTTGCGTAGTTCTATAAGAAGACACACCTCATGTTCTTTTTGTCAGAGTGCTTGTTCTTTGAAAAATGGGGAAGAGGAAAGGAAACTGAGGTTTCCTGAATCTGTCCTATGTCCCAAGCACTAAGAAATATCCAACATA